GCTAGACTTTCGAGAACCGTAATCTAAATAAATGTTGAGTTGATTTTTCTTTATATTGTATAGCCTAAGCTTATATATGGGAGTTACATAATCACTTCCTTTGAACTGATCAAAGGGTAAATAATGGCAAAGCACTTTATTTCTATTCATATTTGGACTTCATGTTTACTAATATTTCAAAAATGTGCTTAATATTAGAACACTTTCGTTTAAAGAATATTTTCAGCGATCGATCTGCCAAGTCTACGATATACGATACAGTTCGCAAGAGCTTATCGTGATAACCGGTGTAAAAACCAAAAAAAAAAAAAAATCTCAAATTTCATAATTTCCTATCAAGTTTTACATGAGTGCGCTCTATCGTTTGCTAATTTGATGGCATATTTTTGTTTTCATTTTGATACGGCAGAGTATTGGCAGATCAAGACCATTTTTATACTTAGTTCGCGACCATCAATCAAAAGCATATAGGTATCGAGTTTTAGCAGAAAATTCTTCAGACGGAAATTGTTAATTTGACTCTAAATTTTACGGTAATCAAGAATGCATGCCCTTTATAAGATATCCATATGCTGCAAGATATGTCTGCATGTTTCTATTGCAACGAGAATGACAAGACAGACTGGTAACAGCGTCATTCTTCTTCGTTGGTGAGTATAAATGTTAAAGCCTTTAGATAATTATCGCTACGAACTAATATACAGCTTTGTGCGAATGCATTAAATATACAGAACCCGATTCATAACAAACACGTAAACGATTGCGGCGCACTAAAAAAATTGTGCTAAGATATAAAATGTAGATAACAAGATACGCTTGAGTTGATTTAACGCATACGTGTAAACTAACTAAAGCGTATACAAGCTCGAAAGTAAAACTTGGAGATATACAAAGAATAGCAACAACAATAATAACAATAATAATAATAATAATAATAATAACAATGTTAACCTTACCATAACGAAAATATTATATGAATGCATGTGTTTGGAAGCTTATCAACACATGCACACACATAATATGATTCATCACTTTAAATCATTATTAAGTTCTTGTTGAAACAAGAGAAAAAAAAAAAAAGAAAAAAAGGGAAAATCAATAGCATTTTAAATCTCTCTTGATTATAATCCCCCCCTATAATTAAAGAATTTCATCATATTTAAAGAGATTTCAGAAAATCTTAGCTTTTTTTTTTAAAATAGTCACCATCACAACAAATACAAATAAATTTAATTATAATTGAAGACGAGAGAGAAAGAGAGAGAGAGAGAGAGAGATAATAGAGAAATTTAGTAATGAAAGTAAATATGCCGTTTAATTATGAAAGGCAGATATACTTTCAATACTTCACACGTTCACTTTATTTCACTCATTAACATGCTAAGCATAGAATTTTCACTGCTGAAGTACACTGAGTGTACTAAAATTATTGTTTCATTCGCTTTTTTCTTTCCCTTTTCTTTTTAGCACAATCAGACACTTCAGAGGTGGCCACAAGCAGGGAAAAAGAAAGACATCTGGAGTGTGTACAGCCAGGTGAGAACGTGTGTCCAAATCGGCAAGTTTAATGCCTTTATCGACTGAGCTTGGCTATGGAATGGTTCACGGCACTAGAATTTCAACATCCAAAGATCGACTTGACAATCGCGGCTCTTATCTGCTCGGCTAAGCGTCAGCCTAAAGAAAGGCATTGGAAATCTTCAAACCATCGGGTCATTTCTATGTGTTTGACTTGGCTTATGACTTGCTTGTACTATAGTTGACTTAATATACAGATTTCAGGGTCGTTTCATCAACTTTTGAAGGAAAAAACTTTATACCACGGTCAGCCTTCGCCGACTTTCTTCCTTCATATATTTGTAATGAGCGCGCAATTTTGTTTACCGATTGAACCTTCGTTTTGTAAAATTTGCGGAGAGAAATCTTTTAAGGAGTAGAGTCTAAGGAATAGACCTAACTCGTTCAAATTTGGCCCACTTAATTTTTATATCAACTTGCTATCATGAGCATATTTTCACCATAAAATGTTAACAATTAGGCATTTTTGATATGTAGTTGATTTCATTTCCTAAGAATCCTTAATATGTGGTGGTATCCCCAACAATAGATCTACATGGTCCAAATTTGGCAAAGCTGATTTCTATATCAATTTACTATTATAAACTACTTTTCACCATGAAATATTAAAAATTATATCTATTTAGTATATAAAGATTCAGTTTTCATAGGAACGGTGTGTATGAGAGAGAGGTGATTCAAAAACTTTCCCCAGCCGAACACAATTTTCCATACCAATTTAAAATGTCGAAATGCTACTACACAGCGAGTTTTGTCGAAAAAATTAGAAAATTGCAAAAGTTTTCGCGGAGCAATGGCGTTCGTTCAGAGTAAAAACACGTCACGTGGAACAAAGTTCATCAAAATATCTCAACAACTGCGATTGAATACAAAAATACATGGACAGACATCAGATGGACAGACAAACAAGAAAAAAATTCTGAATCAATTGATATAATACTAAGTCCTCTTGACTATTCTATACACCCTCACAAGCTTAATATAATCCACACCACTAGTGGTGTAGCGTGTAAATATTAAAAGAACTCGAAACAAAAATCTCAAGACTTTAACACTGGTTTGTACAAAGAACGCATCGATTGTTTGTTTCGAAACTAACTATTTTTTAAATATTTATTCGAAATGAGCCCAAACGTTATAAGCTACAATTTGATAGTAGGTACATGACAATCGTCTAAGCTCGAATTTCCATTGTTTTGTGATGTGCAAAAAAACAAAAAAAAATCTCCGTAAGGCATTACTTTAATAAATCTACTAACCATGACAAATAGCGTCAGAAAATATTGAAAATTAAACGTACGAGTATTATACGGATCCATCGGAATCGTACAATTAAGAACAGAGCGTATTTTCAAATAACGTTAAATAGATTGCTTTTTTTTTCTTTAAATTAAAAAAATGTCAAGTGATTCAGAAAATCGTGCGTAAGTCTCTTTAAATCATTGCCGAGGAAGAGTAATAGCAACCATGCGAATGTATGTTAATTACATATTGATGACGAATAAGTTCATTAAAATTCAAAAAGTGATTCATTGTATTTTTCATGTCTAAAATTTTAATGAAATGTAAATAAATAATAGTAAAACGAGAAAAACGATATTTAATATATGGGTAACGTTACACTGCCGTTTTTTCATTGTTTCATTACCCAACATTCTCTTTACCGGCTATCTATGGGTTTTTTGCATCCTAAAACTAGATCCAACGTTAAATTTACCCCATGACATCCTTTCCTAAATAATCGGATATATACTAAATGCAGGCGGCGTGCGAGCTTCTCGATGTATATCAAACTTATCCAGTCCGTATACTTTCTGATCATTCCATAATATTCAAATAGTGATTTTTTATATTTCAGGCATACTCAAGGCAGAGGTAAGATAAGTTTTGCTGCTTCGAAATGTCTGAAGCACATGGAGCATATCAGCCCTTCATCTCATGGCCTGCACTAATATTCTGTTATAATGGGAAGCGTTTAAGCTTTCTAATCATTGCATAATGTTTAAATAATTTTTCGTATTTCATTTATAATGAAACCCAAAAACTGTCTTCAGTACGGAATTTAGAATACTTGAAAAATAAAAGATCGCGTTTTCAATACTAAGCAATGATCATTTGTAGTATTATTATTTATTACTTTTTTAGTCATTTACAATCGAGCTTCGTGTAATATGTGACCTTAATAGCTCTTTCTTATACCTTTTGGGCATATTTCATAATTTTGGATACTTAATGGATGTAATGAGTTTAATTCTCGTTTGGATCCCGATGGGCTTTTCGGAACTTATTTATAGATATTGTCAATAAAAGATATCGTCTAAGGTCGAAAAGTGGATGAGATCAATAAGAAAGCAGACTTGCAAATTTCATCAGTGCATAAAATCAATAACAAGTCAAAATTGTTTTGTAAAACATGGCCAGAATTAGATTCAAGTATAAGGAAGAAATCGGAAATCATTTTAAGAAATTTAGCAGTAAAGGAGAACTGAAAAATTCTAGTTAAACGTCGGCTTGGAGACCAATTGTGTAACTATTTCTAACGTTTAATGTAAGGTAAGAAAATTATATATCAAGGTCAAAAAGCAGCTGAAGACATAAACTCATCCCGAACATGACGAATACATATCATGTGTAAGGAGAAAATGTATTAATTATATAATTAAAGCTTTACTTTTCTATCAATATTTACAGTAATATAAGGATTAAGTAATTACCTATACTTAAGTGCATGGGCAAACAAGACCCGATAGTGTCGAATACTTGAAATTGCGCAGGCACAAGTTTGGTTTACCCTGGCAAATTAAATTGGGACGGAGTTGATGGTTGGTATTTTGAAAAGCCAGGGCAAACGCAACGAAGAGATAAATGATTAACTAATTTAGTACCTAACCATGCCTAACATTCATTCGCTGATAAATATTGATGAGAAATTGCTTTGATGGTCTGGGTATAAAGAAATTCATAGCAGAAGTCAAATTTCTTTTGCAAGTAATTATCAAATTTTCAATTTCAAGACCTCAACTAAAAGAAAATCGGACGAACGTCCAGAGTGAAGAATACTTTATAAAATCTACGGATCAGTTTTATGGTATTACACATGCGACAATTAAACGCCCATATATTCTTACTTCAATAGTAGGAAGCTAACATAAAATTATTTTCACCAGAGTATGACTTCAATTAGCATTAACCTTTCAAAATTATCTAAGTCAGAACTTCCTCAACTATTTCTTATTAATTTTGTGACCCGACCTTCTTTTACTTTAATTTTAATATCAATGCAAAATATATTTTTAGAAAAACTTCAATTAAATTCCCTATCCTATGCCTATTTAAAATTTTATTTCATATCCCATTAGCTCTTAAATAAATTTCCATTTCAATGTGAAATATATATATATAAACATAAATATATCGCTTACCTTTTTACGCTACGATTTCGTTTTGCTTGTTGTTCGGCCTCCTCTTTAACGCTATCCCATGAATCACCCACACCCGATGAAGACATTTCATCTAAACGTTCCTCATCTTCTAAGCCCGAATCCTCTAAACTTATATGGCAGCTAGTTAAAGTAACCTCTTTGCCATTATCGCCGACCTCAATCCAATCTGATGTACGAATGCGAGCCGAACGTTCGGTACCGTACGGTGACGAATCTGACGAGCAGCCAGATGGACTACGTTTACGTAGCTTATTGCTGGCAATCACTTTAAGGGATTTATTTAACAAATCATCCTCGGTATCGCCATCGGCATCTTCAATATTATCAGCATCAACATCTTCTTCGTGATCCTCTAAAGAATTGTAACGATTGCGTATCGTATTTTGAATTGCCGCTGCCGTTGACGATTTGGGGGTCGATGTTGCCATTAGCATGGTGCTTCTATCTACAGATTGTCGACAATCTTTTGTTTGCAAATTTTCCATAGAATTTGATTTGGTGCGCATGGCAGCCAATTCAGATATGAGCATTTCATGAAAAGCAGTTTTTTTCTCGGGGGAATTAAAGGCTGAAACCACTTGACGCGTATCGTTCGCATTGTTTGCCGAGATATTTATACGTGTACAATTATTACCATACTGTGCCGATGGATTGTTTGTTTGAGTTATTGTAGATGATGTTGCTCGCGTTGATGTTGATGTTGATGTTGTTGTTGTTGTTGTTGTTGTTGTTGTTGTTGTTGTCTTGTCAGTATTGACCACGGTAACATTATTGACGGCATGCTGTTTATGAAGTGCGGCTACTTTTTGGTCTCTTATTGCCTGATGTTGTAGTGCACGTTCGTGTTTGGTTATGATGGTTGTGTTTGATGTATCTGAGTTATTTTGCTTTTGTTGATTGATCATGATTTCCGAAAAGAGTCGTTCGGCGGCATTTTTTAAATTATTTTTAATTTCCACTGTTTTGCCAGACAAGAAACTGCCACCAGTTTGCCCAGTACTGATTGTTGTTACATTTCCACGGCTTGTAAAATTATCGAGTGTCGTTTTCGAACGTTTAAACAAATTGACACCCACCAAATTTGATGTAACAGATAAACTTGTAGCGACATTAGAATGTTGATCGTCTATCATATCCATTGTGGCAACAGGAACTTTAACAATTTTACGAGGTTTCGGCAACGGTTGACTGGCTGGCTGCAATTGATCTAAATGAATTCTTGGAACATGCGTTTCAAAGTCTGCTTTATCGAAACTGAAACGCGCATCTTTAAGTTGAGAACGATTGCTATCAACTTTATTCTGAGATGAATTCATCGAATGATGGCGATTTAGTGCTGCCACACCCGGTGCTGATTGCACAATTACAATATTATTGTCAACATTGCCGCGATTATGTTCTTCCACTGTTACGTGTTTTATATCACTTGATATTGCTTGAGTTGTTTGTTGGCTATTGGTTTGGTGTGGTTTTGTGGTGGTGGGCACATCGGGTGCTTTTCTCAATTTTAGCGGTGGTTTTGAGGCATGCATGCCATTCGTTATTTTTCCATTGTTTGCGTTTGTCTGGCCAACTGTGCTGGTATCGTTATGTTTCTCACGTTCTTCTTGGCGCTTTTGCAAATTTGCTGATGGAGATTTATAGATAACTGTACGACCAACACCACTGCCACTAGTAGAAGTTGTGGCCGTAGCTGTCGCTGTGGCTGTGGCTGTCGCTGAGCTGCTTTGATTGCTAACGCAATGCGCTGCTAACGATGGCTTTTTTAGAACTTGAGGATGTTCAGCTGCTGGTGCTATTGCTTTACTACTTAAACGTTGCGCTCTCAGTAACGATGCAGCAGCAGTTGAGGTCGTGTGCTGAGGTCTAGGTGGTACTGGAGGTCCCGGTTTCTTGGCAACTGCAGCGGCTTGCGGTGTCGATATCACGCTGGATAATTTTGTTTTTGTTGCCATGCTTTTATGTTTTTCTTTTTCTTTTCTTTTTTTTTTGCGTTTTTATTTATATATTTATTTTATTTTATTTTATTTTGGTTGTTATACGACTACGCTAAAGCTCGTTTTGTGTTTTGTGTTTTGTCTCAACTGGGTCTGGCGAAGCAGTTCTTGATGATAATGATGATGATGATGATGATGGTGTATTTGTTACAATGTATTGGCACCAAAAACCTGTCTTTGTAGGTCACTTCTACTTGTTTCTGTGATCTCACATGAGCTTTTGTGGATGTATATAATTTATTTAGCTGACGTTATCACTAACTCACTAACCGACTCGTATAATATAAGTATGGACGTATAGGTGAATGTTTATACAAATGCGTCGGTACGTGTGATTGTTGTTTGCTTGGTTTGTTTATAGATTCAACTTAATTTATGCTTAATATTTTTCATCTAAAACTCGTTTTATTGTGTCTGATTTTACTATAAATGACAATTTGTTTCGGTTTTTCTTTTCTTTTCTTATCCTCTCCTCATGCACCTCTTCTTCTTCTATTTCTCCCTATTCCAGGCACAACGAACGACGACGATATTCAATTTCGCGCGATCTTGTGGTTTTTTTTTTGTTTTTTGTTTTGTGAAATATTCTAGCCACAAAAACTATATGATGTTACAAGTAAGTGAACGAGCAACAATAACAAAAAAGTCGAATCAACATTTCATTGAGAATTTCTTGCAAAAATTTTTCACGTTTTTTCTTTACTTTATTTTGATTCAGTTAAGATATGAGTTCCGGTTCTGATAATTGTGTAGTTGTTGCGTTTTATTCTCTTTTCTTTTTTTTTTTTTGTTGTTGTTATTCTATTTTCTTTTTCTTTTCGCTGATCACAGAAAAAAGTAGTGGTTACAAAATGGGTTACCGCTAGTTAGTATGTACGTTTCGTAAATTATATTCCACGGCGCAAGTGTGACAACAATTCTAACGGCTTTAAGACGTACTTAACTCGTTTTCATTGCTCCACATACACTAACGTAGAAAAAGCAAAGAATTCTCGTTATTGCTCGTTTATGTTCGTATTCGTGCTTGCACTATGCAAATTTAGTACTTTTGCTATCGTTGCTGCTATTGCTTTATAAAAAGCAATTGTCGCTGATGAGGTTTTAATGTACCTGCAATAAAATGCCAGAGGTTAATGAAAAAATAAAATAAAATATTTATATATATATATATATATATATATGGGTGATTTATTAATTAAAATAATTATCGTTTGTTGATTAAGTGAGAGAGAGAGAGAATACGATTAAAGAGAATGAAATTTCTTTGAGTACAACTTGTTTTTGTTTTTAATTCCAAAAAAAAAATTTTATCTTTCGACCTTGTAGTGCGTTATTTACAAAAACGTATCTTCACCGTTCATTCTTTTTATTTATTTAATTTTTTTTTTTTCTCTTTGCTTTCAATTTTTATCAGTATTCATTGAATTGTTTATAATTGTTGTTGTTGTTGTTGTTGTTGTTGATGTTAACAATGCTATATCAAAAGTATTTCTTTCATGTTTATCTAGATATGTAATTACAAATGATACCAGAATATGCATATATGCACGCACACACATATACTATTAAATGATTTAGATTTATTAGCTTACATTTGGCGTCAATTTGCTTTTTATTGCTACTGGGTCTTCCGCTGTGTGTGTGGTGTTTAATTAACACACAGATAGTAGGAACTCCTATGTTTGCATTCATTTAATTTATGCAAATATTACGAAACTTGCATTCAGCTTTAGTCGAATTTTACATTCATTTTTCCTTTTAAAAAAAGCTATAAATTTTTGTTTAAAACTTTTTCTTTATTTATAATTTATAGATATTAAAAAAAAAATAATAATAATAATAATAATTTTGCACTTTCCTGGCATGTTGCACTAACTGCGCTACAGTTTATTTTCTCTATATTCATTACTTTATTGTATTTAAGGTTTCAATCAGTCAATATGTGTATATACCTCATGATTCCAATTTAAATCGAATGTACACGAATATTACTCCCGTCTTCCAGCTCTCTTTACCGATAACTCTTTCTAATCACAATCGTGCCTGCCGGTGCAGTGAAAATTCCCTAAGTGGCTGAACCATATATATATATATATATATGTATATATATTATACATAATAAGGACCATCCAATAGAAACTGTTCATTTGATAGGTTCGCCTACCAATGCGTATATAAGAAGCGCGACTATCAAGTGGACATATCAACGATCGATTGCTTGCTCCACACTTTAATGACAAATGGCTTATGAAATGCTCGCTCGGTGAAACCATTACACGTCCTAATCGAACTACTATTGCTCGCTACCCGTCTTTCCTCACTTCATTTTCCGTACTCATTATCGTATCTCTACACGCATAGGCGTCTTAAAAAAAAAAAGATACAAAAATATTGATAAGCATTTTGACAGTTTGTACTCGACAAACATAATTTATAATCGCGGAAAATTGCAGATGTTATAGAAATTTATTCAATGCATTTTAAACGCAAAAAAACATTTTATCAAAATCATTGTAATATCAGTCAATCAATACGGAGCAGATAACCCCAAACTTCAGTGAAAGTTAAAGACAAGAGATGGTCTAACATCATCGCCATTGTCATTGAAGCTATCTATAGATCTTTATTGGAGGCTTTATTTATAAGAGTTAGTATTGAATTTACGGCATAAAATTTCTGATCGCTTAGGCACAAATAAGTGAATCGTGTATATGCCGTTAAAATCATAGGGCCCGCTAGCAAAGAACTAATTTTTTTTTTTTTTGCAAACATCCTGCTTATGAAAGGCGAGAAATTTTTTTATTTTCACAAGATTTGAATAATTTATGCAATATTTTTATTTTCTTTTAAGTGACAGATATTGACAGATATGTTTATTATAGCGCCATTACTTCAAAAGCAAATATTAATATAAAATTTAGATTTGTTCTCGAATTTTTCATATGATTTTTCATTAAAAAAAAATTTAAATAAATACAGACGAGCAGATATAAGGCGAATTCAAAGGGGATGACGAGATTAAAGCTAATAATTTTCAAATATATAAAAGGCAAAGTGCAAGAATACATAGATTTACATAAACATACATATAGAACGAATGCACACATATATATACATTTGGAGAAAAAGTATTGAGAGATTTCTGTCACTAGATTGCATTTCATATCAGATAACATATATTTACAAGATGACATTTCAATGTACAATTTTTAAGCAGGTAGATGTACATGTTATGAATCGTGTGAAAAGGTGTACTTGTATTTATGTTAGCATGAATGAAACTTTTGAAAAATGCTCTATGTTCTGCGCAGTCAACAAGCTTAATAGCTACATTAGCTTGCAGCTAGCTTTTCCTTTTTCATTCTTGACATTTCGATGTCGAAGATGCGTCTCGCTCTGGGCAACCAACCACTAGAAAAAGCGATGAAATCTTACAAAAAAAAAATATATATATATATATAAAATCTGCCTAAATGATAAGCAAGCATGACATTGCCAAAACCATAGACGAGTTTCGACGAAAGTTTAATACATAAAGACACTTATTATTATTATTATTATTATTATTATTATTATTATTATTATTAATTTCGCCAGAGAAATAAATTCTAAGACTAAACTCTTAAAAGCACTAGCGTCTAAGGATATCGGCTTTTATTAAAAACTCTCGACCATTGACTTGTCTAGTCGAGATTCCTCGCCTTCGGCTACTCAGGTGTATATCAAGAAACTTAGAGAGCATGCATGACGCATGAATTGTCGCTAAAAGATGCAAATTGCCTGAGCTTCTGCAAACAAATTGCTGGTTAAACGCAATGAAATCGATTCATTTTTGAAGTAAACCATTACTAGCGTCCCTGTTTTTTATCATCTTACCATAGATGTCTAGGTGTGTTTTGAACCTTAATTGAAAACTTTGATATCGATCTCAATCGGTTGATTAAACAAAATTTTTGGCTATTGGGTATACATACAAAATACTATTTTCCTCTTTCCTTTTAATTGCAAACATACATTTAAACGTACGTTTCTTTCTATCAAACGCTTTAATGAATGACGGAGCGTTTTATAAATGTGTTCGGTATAAAAATTATCATCACAATGACAAAATATTTCATAAATATTTATAATTTTAATCAATTAACACTTTTATTTAATAAAATATGAATGACTCTACGACCGGTTTAATATGTTTATGCATTTTTATTGCAATTACAGGTAACTTAAGCATATCGCGTTACAAGCTTTAATTAAAACATATTGAGCTGAATATTGAAAGCAATTAGGCATAAAAATCTCTTCTGATTACAAAATTGATATCACTCTTCATTCGTAACAACTATTACCGCTAAAGTTTAAGCATCATCGTTAGTATTACGATTGAAAAAGACCGGATATCTGGAAATTGTTCCCTTTTTTTTTTAAAGATCGGCAACATCGTTATGTTTTACATATGTGCTTCACCTTTGTTGCTTCCACTGAACATTGCAAAGATAAAGTAAACAAAAAGGGAAGGAAGTACGTTCAGTCTTCTTGATACCTCTCGTAAATTTGGAAGCAAGATAGAGGAAATTGCTTCAAAAATCCGAAATAGATTTGACTTCAAAAAGCGTTTTTCTCACCCCAATTCTAGTAGATGGAGATAAACCATCATCTTTGCCGCTTTATATGATGAAACCCAACAAAATATGTCTTTTAATTGTTACGAAATGAAACGGATTCACTCAGCATAATTCTTTTACGTATTTCTCCATCCATCTCTGTATCTTTCCTATTCATTGAAATTCTTAAAATCAAGTAAACTAATAGTGAAAACTGCAGTTTGGAATTTCTGAACTTGAAAAGCTTTGAAAATTATTGTATTATGTCTGAGAATACAATTTTTTTTTTTTTTTTTTTTTTGCTTCTACTTGACAAATCTGCGTTACTAGGAAAGCATTATTTAATTCCAAACATCGAAATGATATAAATGAATATTTTTTTGTTATAAACACACTACAACATATTTGCTAATTATAGCTAAAGACTTGTATTTATTTTATGTGGCAACACATATTGAAGATAATTTATGAAAACTTTCATCACATTTGTTTATAAAGAAATTGTTTCGAAATTTGAATAATATATGAATGTATGAAAATCAAATCAAATTATTACAAAATACATCACAATTGACTGAACACAATCTGCACATATGTCTATAAAATGTAATTGTGTACATATTTCATAAAACCAACGAGCATAAAGGCATGCTATTAAACAAACGATTATGAAAATTTCAAAAAAACTACGAAATTAAAATAAAATTTTTATTTAAATATTAAGAAAATTAATTTTTTTTTTTTGTTTTCTCAACTAAAAGCGGTTTTTATTAACAATAAAAATTTTTAAATGACAAATAATTTTCGTGTAAGAAGAATACTTATTAGCTTTATTTTATATTTATCTCTAGTCAGAGAAGACTTAATGTGATATACAATAAATGCAATTTAAGAAAAACCTACAGCTTGTGATTAAATGCTGTCGATCAACTTCAAAAATAACAGGGGGTCACTTACTTAGCAAAGCTAAAGAAGAAAGGGTTTGGGGGACACATATCACCTACATTTGTGATTTAATTCAGTCGAATAACTTCGAAAATAACTACCGAGCATTTGATAAGAGAGCTAAAGAAGTAACGCACATCTTACATACACTTATGATTAAATTCTATTCTATTCATCAACTACGAAGATGACTATGAACCGCTTATCAACGGACTTAAAGAATGAACGTTTTTGGCAGACACATCTGCCGAAAATATTTATTCAAACCAAATCAACAATTCATGTAAATATGATTTTATTTAAACCATTGACACGCCTTTAGATGAAAAAAAAAAAAAAACAAACAAACCATGCAGTCATTGAGTGACAGGAAAGTGTGTGTTCATGCGTATAAATCGTTCATTTACCAATGTTACAATTTTCGTAAACAATACCGAAGCACCTTCTTTGTCTAGCAGAGGAGTTTTTTTTTTTGTTGATTATGAATGGAATGCATTGGCCATATGTTGTTTTTTTTGGCTCGATAAAGGGAACAAAATCGCTGATAGTCATACAAAATTATGTAACGAGATATTTTGATACTGACATTCTTATGCTATTACATCTATTAAGTCAACCTGACTATATTTATTCGCAACATAACAAGGCATATAAATATGCAGAAGACAACCAGCAAAAATTATATTTAAAATCTCTGAAAAACTCGCCATATAAGTCCACATCTAAGCACCGTTCAAGTTGAAAGAGATTCATTTGAAGTAACAAGTCAATATTTACGGTAAGCATTTTAAACGCAAAGGGGATGAAATCATAAAATCTTTAAAAAAAAAAAATGGCTTATCTGCAGGTCCACTATCTAAAAATCTTTGTATTCGAAGCGTTAACAAAAACACATCGAAAATTGAATTGCACTTGGCGATTGTTTTATACCCATCAGTGTAAAATAGTAACAAAAGTATTTTGTTAATAGTGGGCGCGTCATTTGATTGATCATTTCCGTTTTTACATTCAGAAATATTTGCATGAATTTTAAAATCATTTTGTATTTTCGCATAAGCGAACTAATTATGATCAGTTTTCCATTGACCGTTTAGACATTCCAACAGTCTATTTGTATAGAATTTGAGATTTATATCCAGTGTTTTAAGGAGTTATAAATAAACCAGGCCTAGTTTTAAACTTAATTTAAGGACGTCAAATATTTGTCTAGTTATAGGAAAGTTCACTATAAGAACGGACAGACAGACAGACAGACAGACAGACAAGATTATGAGGCTGTAATCCATGATATCGTATATATATATATATACATATATATACCTTCTCTCCGCTGCGCATTTCATAATATTACAAGTGAATAGAAAAATATAGTGAGCCCCGCATCCATCAGTAGGGACTAAAAAGCAGATCCTGCAGTAAGTTTGGTGAAATTGCAAAGATATATATATATATATGTGTATACAGAGTCGCTTTTAAAGAAATCCCAACGATCAATTCGAATGTTTACAGTCAACCACTGAAAGAGGGTAGAGAAAGAGGGTAAATGAAAAAAGCCAAAGCAAAATTAGAGAGAGAGAGAGAGAGAGAGAGAGAGTTACTTTTCATTCTTACAAAGGAAAACCTCAAAGAATTTTGCTAATTCGTAGATATTTATTGAAAAATAATTTATTTAGTGAACAGTTGTGTATCTGCTTTATATCGAACCATGCCACACCTAACCGCCAAGCGTTTGCTTAAAAAAATTTTGTAAATCCCTTTAAGTTACAAAATTTTCACTAATAATGGCAGTCTAAAGTTTAACATTTCAATCAGATTTTCGCTATTAAGAACGATTTATCTTAAGCCTAAAAATAATAAAAGAAAAACTCGATTTTTTCTCTCATCAAAAAAAAAACGATATTTTTTTTTTGTTTTAGTCAACTTTTCATATAACTGTAACGCTGAGACGAATTTTTCATTTGCATTTATCTCTTTGTCTATTAATCTTTTGTTCGTATTCGCAATTGAAGCGGAAAACCGCAATTCGAAAATTGCCTTTTTCCTATGCGTTATAAATAAAACGAGGCGTGGTCTGCAAAAACACAAAAAGTTGTTGGACATAAGTGACAAAAAAAAACCTGACAAAAAATCAAAAATTAAGTAAACCTTAAAGTGTTGACCCTTTACAAAGTCAATATTTATTGTAAAATACAGTAGAGTAAATAAGACGGCTACTAATTTCAAGCACACCCTACCGCTGCTTAGACGCTCACATATTTACACAATTTTACAAGACATATTTATGCATTTAAAAAAAATATTTATTGGAATATATTAAACATTTTAACCATACGCGCGCATACACACCCACACGCACATAATGAGAAATCATTCATTTTTAATAAGTTCGCTAGTAGATGAGTGTCCAAGTTTATCTTTATGCGAATATATGTTATATGAAGTGAAATAAAACAACAAAAATACAATAATTTATTTCTACAGTTATGGTTGTTGTAATCATCCCATTAGCTAATATTAGCTCATCTCATTTTTATATTGCTTGCTAACTCACTTAACTTTTTATTTTTTTTTTTTTTTTTTTTTTTTTTTTTTTACCTAAATCTCTAAAGCATGCCGTATGCATGTGTAGTTGTTCGACAATTTACTTATTACAACTTGCATAGGTAAGTTGTTGTAGGGAAAAAAATAAAAATAAAAATAAAAAAATAAAAAAAAACACCTAAAAAAGAAAATACGACAAACACACACACACACACACACATGCTTATACATTATTTGTCTATATTTAAACATTTGCTCATATAAAAAGGTATGCAGCATTTATGAATGCCTTCTGCTCATATTACACCGTACCGTACGTAGCCGTAAAACATCATTGAAACTTGAATACCTTACAGCAATAATGCAATAATGACAATAATAATAGCAACAACATTAGCAACAATAATAATAATAATAATAATAATAATAATCATGGAATTTGTTTTTTTTTTTTATTTTTTATTTATCATTTTAGCAACTTTCATGCTGTTTACAATTAAACATAAAAATACAAAACAGGAGCTATATAAAGAAATGGGTTAACAAATTTTTATTAAACATTTTCATTTTACTGGCATGAGTACAATTTTTATTGTTTTCTTGTTGTTTTTATTTATTTATTTTTTTTTTCTTCATTTATTTATGTATAATTTTATATGTTTTTATAGCACAATTAATGCACTTTTTGTTTTGCTTACAATGTTTTTTTTTTTTCTTTTTTCTTCGCGTGGAGAAAACAGCCCAGTTTTGTGTAATTATTTAAATTTTCACTGAGTTTTAGAGAAAGGCGCTGCTTACAAAACGCACAACCACCCACGCATTAGGAGAGTATTTGTTTTTCGTATATTATACTTTATAATTCCCAAACATGTATATAAATATATATATATATATATATATGTAATATATAAATTTAAAAAAATACATATTTACGCACTCTTTATGGTGTTACTTGTTTTCTAATCCAAAGTGTAAGAAATAGTTTTTCACATTAAGCTTAACAACTACAACAACAACAACAACAATAACAACAACAACAATAACAAAAATAATGTAGCACTATAAACTCGTTCTTTAATTGCTTTTTATTTTTATTTTACTTTTCTTACTTAATTTACTGGCTTTTGTTTAATTTTCTCTTCATAGCAAAGTTTCGCATTCGCATTCGCATTCTATTTTGAAACAAAAAAATACACTACGAATTTTCAATTTAAAAAAAGATAGAAAACACAGCAACTATCACCGTTCAATATTTACATCCGCATAATGTGTGTGGCGATGTTTCATTCCCGTTCATAAAGCAACTAACCAAAACTAACCGCGCGAAAGCCCGACACTAACTAAACTAAATGCTGAGCATGATACAACAATGAATGCAGGCAGGCAGGCAGGCAAGCAGCAGTCAGCAGTCAGCATACAGCAGTGAACAACAGCTATAACAACAGTGAAACACCACCGCATTCATCGCACAACTAGCTCCAACATATTAAATTCATTTCATATTCATTCGTTACTCCCATCGAGAAATTCATTTATTCGTTTAATGTTCATTGTGTCTGCGGCTTATATATATATACTCATATATCGTATGATGTTGTTTCAAATAAGAGAAGCAAAAGAAGAAAAAAAGGGAAAAAGAGAGAAAAACCAAAAGTAATTTAGTGCAAAGAGAAAAATAGCTATGAAAATTGCGACGTTCTCTTAAAATTTTATGAAAAATCATTTAACTACCATATAATCACACTTTTTATCCACAGGAAGGAAAGCAGAATATGCTTCTTTTTGCATTAGGTTTGCCTAAAAATGCGATACGGCATTGCATTCATTAAACAAAAATGTCATCATACGTAACATTGACTAAATGATTTTGATCTTCTCAAGGCTCAATATTTATTTGGTTGATTTCTTATCTTTTTCTATATTGCTTCGTGACATTTTTTCTTGCTTTCTAACTTTTCAACTAATCAAAATGCGCCGCATATTATGCGTTAAGAGCGTTCTTTCGATAATTTTACGAGAAAAATGAATCGGAAAAAGTGTTAGCGACTAACTGAATTTATTATTATAATTATTATTTTATTTATTCTGCATTTAAAGTCGACATCTATAACTTTGTGGTACATTTTGAAAAATGATTCGCACTTGAATAAGTATAAAATGGAAGCCGAGGACAGAAGAATGACGCAATTCGTAGCCTTAGACAATAAATAAAAATTTACTTTGTAACGACCAGCGATCCTGTCGATAGCCTGTGCTAACAATTTCATCCTGCAACCTACAAAAGGCAACTGTTGGCTCGCTACACTAATTAGCTAATTTTGTAACGCGTAGCATATTTCATTTTGATAAAGAGTGAAATGAAAGCAGAACAGAAATAAATCATAAAAAAAAAAATCATTTATTTATTTAAATCTATTATTATTATTATTATTATTATTATAAATTAGCCAGAGAATAAATTCTAAGCACTAGCATCTAGCATTTGGCTTTTATTAAAAACTCTACCGCACTTGAGATTTAGACCCACGACCATTGAGTTGCTAGTCGAGACTCTTGCCTACACGGCCACTCAGGCAGATTTTACTTAAATCTATTTTGTCACCTTCGGGCTAGACTCCAACGTCTGAGCTCGTACTTCACGCAATTATGGTGTTTTCCTAATCATGTCCATGGTTGACCCAAGATATCTGTCTGTTATATCTATAGTTGACCCAAGATGTCTGTCTGTTATATCTATAGTTGACCCAAGATGTCTGTCTGTTATATCTATAGTTGACCCAAGATATCTGTCTGTTATATCAATAGTTGACCCAAGATGTCTCTCTGTTATCTCAATAGTTGACCCAAGATGTCTCTCTGTTAGCTTTAGAGATGAGTCACTTTCGACTTTCGTGGATAAAAGAAGTTTTCGTAGGGAACTAATAGCAGATTTTACTATTAGTTGAACCAACTCCTTAAACTTCAGGCATTCAGTTGCGAGCAAAAGCTTTTTCAATTTCTTTCGTGAACTTCAACTTCATAACCTAAGGAAATCTACTCGTATTCTGGGATTGTGACTAGTCACTAATCATAATAGAAAACTATATGTTTTCTTATCACAGCGTTTATAACTTTGTATTCTCCATTAGCATGGACGCAGAAAATCTGAAAGATGAAGAACAACAGAGAAAAAACCGTAGGTAATAATAAAACAGGTACGAAAGTTTAGTTAACATATTGTTCTTGTCAAGCCGGTTGTTAAGTCTGTATTGTGATATTATTAGTCTAGGTATCATAGGACGCCGGAAATCGACTTTTTAGAATATGACAATTTTTAAGTTTATGTTTGAAATTTAAAGCTTCGAACAAGGAACATGTTACAAAAATGACGAAAAAGACGAACTAGGAGATAGTACAACATTTTACGAAATAAAAGCAAAAGTCATCATCAGTGAAGAGAATTTCAAGAAATGAAATAGCAATGAAGAACACTATGAAACTTATTTGATATCTCTCTTTGATTTTGAAGAAAAACAAAATTTGTCGAAAGCATGCATGTAATACTTGTTAAGTAATAATGTCATTAAAATTTTAATAAGTGAAAAGACTTGGCATTAACTTCAAAAGAACTTAAGAGCAATCGCTAGCGAAACGGAAAACGAAAAATGAGAGAGAAAATATTGATTTTGGCTCATCGCCAATTCGCAGAGTATACAACAACATGCATTGACTTCAATGCATAGCGCGTTAACGATTCCAAATATTCTTCTTGCAGCAGCAGACATAATTACAACCGGTACTCTTACGCAACTTTTCGAAATAATCTTCATTTTATTTATTTAGCGAATGCTTTCAGTTTATGAAAGTATATGTTATTTCTAGGAAAGAATAAATAAAATTCATAACAAAATAGAGTAATAAAAATGAAGAATAACAAATGGGAAAATTATGCTTAGCTACAGACGAATCTTGCATAACTCCCTTACATGCATTTAATAGGGGGATAAAATTATGTTTACCTTATGCTTTTTCAACGCCCATTTGCTGGCAGCAATGCGAAGCAAACGTTAACGAAAATTAAAAACTAATTGTAAACAATACAATCGACGAGTGTTTGTAAAGGCAATTAAAAGGCACACGCATTAAAGGTACGCTATAATACACCTGGCCTGCATTAGTAAAGATTCCAAGTAGAGTTTGTCCATGCTGCTGGTTAATGCTGCTTTCAAAAATTTAGTTTGCAGCAGGCTTACACATGATTCATGTGCGAATGAGTGTAACGATGGCAGATCAAATTTTAAAAGTTATTCACTACATATTTAGTAGCCCTTTCGATCTATTCAAAACTAACTGCCAGATAGAGTATATTATAAAAAAAAAACTAAAAAGCCAATTTAGATAAACCTATGACACGCTTTGCTTCTAAAGCCAAAATTCGTCCTTAGTTTATGCTCTCTTTTCCCGATTATCTAAAAATTCAGGTGGCTTATCTATCTTTACAAAAAATGTCCATCTCCATCCCTAAGCCTTTTAATAGAACGACTGCAGTTTTCTTGATCGAATGGAAATCCTTTCATATTAATATCACCCCTGTCTACTTCATCAGCCGAATAATCTTTTACTGTTCATACTGCTAGATATTGTAATGCGTTATCCCTAAGTCTAAAAATCCTTCGATGCTTCCTTGATCGCACTGTTAAACTTGTAATTCATATTTTGTTGCTGTTGGTAGGAATGGCTGATTGGGGAGATTATGAAGCAAGATGATTTCATTTGTAGCCATCTATCTGACTTATATGCTCACTTAGTTTGTAGTGTATTTTTTTTTTTTTTTTTTGTACCTGAAACGTATCTATGTAATTAGGTTATAGATACAGTTATTGTTACTTCATAAATGAATAAATGAAACGAAGAGGAAGCGGAAGGAAGCGGAAAATCGCTTAATTTATAGAACTCCCGTAAAACTCATTTTTGGCATTAAAGATAGGAAATATTTAGTTCAGATTTTAAATCAATAACTCTTTCATTATGTAGAACAATTTTGTAGCTACTTACAGTGAGTGCTTACTCGTTAAAGCATTTACCGATTCGCCATGCACCTACTAAATCGCGGCCGATCGTTATCTCTTTCGTGATTTTCTCGTGACCGTCATTGTATTATATGTTGTATAGGATATATCCTTTGAATAATGCCTGGACACATTAACACAAAGAAATAAAATCAATTAGGCATCTTAGCCTAACCATGCTTACATATAGAACTTGAATTTTGATCATGAATATATGGTAGAATTTCTAGAGATTACAAACGATGTAATAAACTCAATATACTCTTTGTTCAATAGTAGCCTTACGCTGGGGAAAACGTATCACATGATGTCTGTTCCTCAGCATCAATTGTCAATTTGGACAATTTTGGCATCTTACCGCATTGACGCTATGCTAAACTCTACACTTCCGGGGACAAGACAAGAGGAATGTCAAAGAATGAAAAAGAAGAAAAAGCAATGATAAACCACCACCGCCATACTTTTACTGATTTGTTTGCCTAAATACTTATATATATGTATATATATGTATTTATATGCTCTTGTGAGTAAGTAGAAGCTGGTATATATCATCCGTGTACCAAATTGAAATACACTGCTCTGCATGAAGTTTGAAGTAAAATTTTTGGCTTAATTTATTATGCGCTTGTTAAGAATGTCTCGTAGACAGTAAGCCAGACATTACGTTGGTGACTTACTTGCTTTACGTTATGAAATGCAAAAACAAAATGAAAGAGAGACGAGGGTTCCAACATTGCTTTTGTTGTTTGCTTTTTGCCTCAGAAGAGGGTAATCACGTGTCGACAAAGAAAGTCGTTGAAAATTTGTTTGCTTTTGCTTTCGTTTCTCACTGAACATTTTTTTACTGCATTCTCTCTTCAATTAATAATTGAAATGTCGCTTTTATTTATATACAAAGGCATACATATATATATATACATATATACACACACAAATATATATATATATATATACAATAGATGCTTTCTTCTTCTGTCATAACAAAAAATACTTAAGTGCCCTGTTATATTTTATCCAAATATTCTATAGAAAATATAGAAATTTATGAGCGGAAGAATACCGTAAATATAAGAGAAATGCTTTAAAAATTTTTTTGCTTTCTTTAAAGCATTAATATATTTTTTAAGAAAATTTATTGCAATCATTGGGAGCAAAATGCTTATCCGTTTTTCTGGGTGTATATTTGTGAGTGTGAGTGCACATATGCGTATTAAGGCGCACGGAATATATAGAGAAATAAAAATACTTCAGTTTTTTCTATCAATCGATCGATTGAGAAGAATATGAGATTATTTCTACAGCGAGAGCAGTTCATAAAGCAATTAATGGGAAGCTGAGGGAGGGTAACTAATTAAGTAATATTATCAATAAACTGTTATCTTGCACTACTCT